AAGAAAGCCTGGTGGATTATTATTCAAAATTGGAAGCCATGGCGTGAACATTTTGAGACCTTGTCCAAGGCATTTATCTCTGGCTTCCTGTAACATGAGGATAATCACTCCAGCGTTCCTCACCTCGAGAGCTGCTGTGAGGATAAAGTGAATAAATTGGATTGAATCACTTTGTAGGTTGTAAACGGCCTATTTTAAAAAGGAAAGTTTAGGATCTAGGGATGAGAATATGGTGAGTTTCCTCATATACTTGACCCTGAGGATCATGATTCTTTAAAATCATTTTTTTGTCTCATAACTTCCCAGCTGATTTTGTTGATCAATGACTCAATCTCAACTCATTATACTACCATTTCTTAGGGACAAAGTGTATTTTCCATTTTTTTTTTAAAGATTTTAAGTAATCTTTACACCTAGTAGAGCTCCATCTCACAACCCTGAGATCAAGAGTCACATGCTCCTCTGACTGAGCCAGCCTGGCGCCCTTCCATTCTTTAAGGCTGTTGACCTTAAATCGGAAGGGTGTTTAGTCATTTGCAGGTTCCTTGAGAGCAGCGGTCTTCCAATTTTTTGACCTTGACCCAAAATAAGAAATAAATTTTATGTAGTCGATTTAATATGCCCAATTAGACCCAAGTTTCATGAAATAAATTTTACCTTTACCATCTGCTGTACAATTTTTGTTTCACATTAAAACAAATCCTGGTTGAATTTTATGATCCACTAGTGGGTCAGGCTATTTGCAAAATAGATTTAGGAAGAAATATAGTTAAGAAGGTAATTAATTAAGGAGTGATTTGTAATTTGAAACAAAGATGTCTTTTTTTTTTTTTTTTAATCCTAACAACGTGCAACACATTTTGGCTTTTTGTAAAGTTAAGATTTGAATTGATGCCATCAAAGCATTTCTCTCTATAAATTGCTTTTATATTTTATTAATCCCTTTTGTTCAACAGGAATAGCAAGAAGTGCAGTGTACCAGAGAATGGAATGAGGGAAGGGAAGAATAATAGGAAATAAAGTCAGAAAGGTAGCAGGGAGCCAGCCAAATCCTGTAGATAACCCATTGTTTGGTCTTGTAGGATAATTTAAGGACTTTGGCTTTTACTCTTAAAGTGACAGAGGGATCCATTATAGAAAAGAGGAATGATGGGATCTGATCTGTGTTTTAACAAGGTGGTTGTGTGGAGAACAGATGGTAGAAAAGAAAGAGGAGAGCAATGTAAAGGAGAAAAAACGTTCTTTGCATCCTCTGTGAGGTTAGTGGTTGGGGGTCTGTGAATTAAACTGACAAAAGACAGATTAGCACAAGAAAAAAGAGCTATGTACACATGCAACACACATATACACAGGATGTTTTTCATCATTCAGTGATTAATAACTCAAAAGGTAGTTAGAAAATATGGCTTATTATATACCTAACTTAATAGGGGAGAAGAAAAGGGCTTTTATAGGATAGGTTTCTTTAGAGAAGACAGGTGGGTTTTTAGAACAAACAGGAGATAAGGAAGTTTGTGATAATACTTGTTTGTGTAGGTGCAGAGGTCTTTTGTCTTCTTCATGGCCATAAAACTCTTGGAGAGAGAGTTTATGGCAGCTTCATATCCTAGAAGTTGCTGCTTTTAGTTAGATGAAGAAAGCTCCAAGAAGGCTTTTTCCCGTGTCTGTTGAATCTCAAATGTCTTCATCTTAAAATAACCTATACCAACTCTGGCTTCTGAATGGGTCACTTCAGCAGTGAGACAGGAGCCATTGCAATTAATCCAGGTGAGTGATGATAGTAGTGGCTCAGACCAACATGATAGTTAAGGATGCTAAGAAGTGATCAGATTCTGGATATAGGGGCACCTGGGTGGCTCCATCGGTTAAGCGTCTGACCCTCAATTCAGCTCAGGTCATGATCTCACGGTTCATGAGTTCCAGTTCATGAGTTTCAGCCCTGCGTTGGGCTCTGTGCTGACAGTGCAGAGCCTGCTTGGGATATTCTCTCTCTCTCTCTCTCTCTCTCAAAATAAATAAATAAAAACTAAAAAAAAAAAAAAAGATTCTGGATATATATTCTGAGGATAAAGCTGATGTGCTCACAGATTGGGTGATGGTTTTGGAAAAAAAAGAAGGCATCAAGGATGACTCCATGGTTTTTGGCCTGAGTAACAGGAAGAATAGAGTTGTCATATACTGAGATAGGGAAATGATAATAACAGTAGGACAGCTTTGTTCCACAGATTGAGTATCTACTGTGTAAAGATACAGGAGACAAACAGTAGGTGGTCCCTCCTAAAGGTACTTAAAGTCTCCTGATATTTATAAACAAGTAAGTGGGTATGTTAGTTTGCTAGGGCTCGATAACAAAATACCACAAACTAGGCGGCTTAAGCAACAGAAATTTATTGTCTCTCTGTTCCTGGAGGCTAGAAGTCAGAGATTAAGGTGTCGACAGGGTTGGCTCCTTCTGAGGGTGATGAGAGAGAATCTATTCCATGCCTTTTTCCCAGCTCCGGGTGGTTTGTATCAGTCTTTGATATTCCTTGGCTTGTAGATCTCTGCCTTCGTCTTCAGTTGGTAGGTATTCTTCCCATGCTGCATGTCTGTGCTCAAATTCTCCTTTTTATGACACTAATCATGTTTAATTAGGTGCCCACTCTTCTCCAGCATAACATCATTTTAGCTGATTACATCTGCAGTGACTCTGTTTCCAAATTAGGTCACATTCTCCAGTACTGGGGATCAGGACTTCGACATACTAATTTGACACAGTTCAACCCATAACAAACAGTAGGCAGTTATTATGAGATTATTTTATGGGCCAGAAAATAAATAACTACAGAGAGTCAGGAGTGTGTGGATGCAGACAAAATAAACCTGAAGTGATTAGTGTCGTTGTTGACTGTAAAACCCCTGTTCCAGTCGCTGGCTAGCTACAGACCTCTGGGTCTTTTGGCCCAGATTATAGTTAAGAATTGGATACTGAATATGGGTGATCAATTTCCCATGGTTGTTGTGGTAACAAATGTTAATGGCTACCGTGATAATATTGAGCCCCTGCTGTGTCAGGCATTATGCTACTTGCTGGATATTCCTGATACTAGCTCATTCTTCACGCAGTAACTGTTTGGGTAGGTGGTGTTAATGCCCATTTTTACAGATGAGAAAACTGGGCTTTTAAGAAGCTTAACGTCTTGCTCCAGATCACACAAAACCATGATAAAGGCCACGCAAGGTACCATCTATAAAAAGTAAAGACTGGGACCATACTGTGAGACCGGCATCCTCTACAATTTTTTTTTTTTTTTTTTAACGTTTATTTACTTTTGAGACAGAGAGAGTCAGAGCATGAACGGGGGAGGGTCAGAGAGAGAGGGAGACACAGAATCGGAAACAGGCTCCAGGCTCTGAGCTGTCAGCACAGAGCCCGACTCGGGGCTCGAACTCACGAGCCATGAGATCATGACCTGAGCCGAAGTCGGACGCTTAACCGACTGAGCCACCCAGGCGCCCTGTGTCCTCTACAATTTACATCTCCTGCTTCTGCTGATGATTCTGACTTTAGCCTGCCCTTGTGATGTGACTTAATGTCACCTGTGAAAGCAATTCAAGCACTTTCCTAATTAAGCCTACATAAAAATGACTCAAATTATGCCTTCCTCTGGAATGCTCACCAGAGATCCAGGTTACTTTTCTTTTTTTCAATTGGGGTAAAATTCACAGAATATAAAACTAACCATTTTAAAGTGTGTAATTTTGTGGTATTTAGTACATTCACAGTGTTGTACTGTCATCACATCTGTCTAGTGTAGAACATTTTCCTTCCCCAAAGGAGAAGCTCGATTCTCATTAAGAAGTCATTCCCCATTTCTTCACACCCCCACCCCCCCATCCAGCCTCTGGAAACTAATGCTTTCCACCTCTGGATTTATTTATTCCAGATATTTCAGATAAATGAAATACAGTATGTGACCTTTTGTGTCTGGCTTCTTTCACTTAGCATGATGTTTTCTAGGTTCATCCATGTTGTACCATATATCAGTACTTCATTTTTATGACTGAGTAATATTCCATTGTGTGGATATACCACATTTTATGTATCCATTCATCAGTTGATAGACATTGGGTTGTTTCTGCCTTTGGCAACTGTAAATAGTGCTGCTTTGAACATTCGTGTACAGGCTTTTGTTTGAATACCTGTTTCGGTACTTTTGGGTATCTATTTAGGACTGGAATTGCTGGGTCAAATGGTGATTCTGTAAGGACTCTCCAGATTACTCTCGAAAGGAGCTAAATGGCTCTTGCTAACCTTATTTACGATGATTTCCATGTAATGTTGCTTTATGTTATAATACCAGATTTGGTAACTAGGTTCCTTAAATAGCAAGTGGAGTTAGGTTTTTATTTTTCTCAGTATTTAAAAAAAAATTTTTTTTAACGTTTATTCATTTTTGAGAGAGGAGGAGCACAAGTTGTCTGGGGGGGGGGGGGTGATGGGAGAGAGAGGGAGACACGGAACCCAAAGCAGGCTCCAGGCTCTGAGCTGTCAGCACAGGAGGCGGCGTGGAGCCCTGAACTCCTGAGACTGTGTCCAATCATGTGACCTGGTGAGAGTCGGGGACCTCAGGCTAGACACGCAGAAGCAGCCCTATTCTTCTCAGTATTAATATATACTGTTTTTCAATAAAGTATACTCTCTGTGTGAATATAACTAACATATACTGGGCTCCTTCCATGTTTTAGGCCTGTGTTGAGTACTCATTTCACACAGCAATGTGTGGGGGAGGAAGATTCTGTTATTGAGTCTATTTTACAGAGGGAGAAATAAGCTTAGCTTATGTAACTTGCTGAGGTAGAGTGACAGAAATAATATTGACTCCAGAATCCGTGCTTTTAATCACTTCCTCCTCCCAGCTATAACTGTCTCAGGTAAAGCTGTGAAAACCTGGCCGAACTCCTCATCTTCTGCTCTGTGACACTTACGACACGAAGAGGTCCACTGAAAGAGGTCTCACATGGCTGTGGTGTGCTTGTCGCAGGTTCCGTGCCTTTGCAGCGGTGCGTCATGTCTGCTGTGTAGCTGCTGCCCCAATAGTAAGAATTCCACGGTGACCCGCCTCATCTACGCCTTCATTCTCTTCCTGGGCGCTGCTGTGTCCTGTATCATGCTGACAGAAGGGATGGAGTCTCAGCTGAAGAAGGTAAGGAGAAGTAACAGTGGCCTTAATGTGCTGGTTATTTGTATTATTTTTACAGTTGGCACAATTTTAGTTGTGATTAACGTCCCAACTTTTCACCATTGTAAAACTCAGTCAAGTTCATTGTAATTGTTGGGTTTTTAAATTACTTTTGGGTATAGTCAAGACAGACTATGAAAGGGTTAGTCCTTTTCCAGAAATAAAGGTCGTCAGAACGAACATCTTCAGAGTCTCATGTCACAACTCAGAGAAAGATATTAAAAGAGTGACACGAAAACATTATCTTTCCATGTATGTTTCAGATTTAAACATTTACCTAGACTCGACCTTCACCTGTGGAAGGAGTCAGTTGCCATGAAAATTTGTGGCAAAATGGGAGATAACCTCATCAATAAGAAAAGAGCACTTCACTTTTATTTGCAAAATACAAGTTGTTTCTACTGTTTGGTGATAAGGTTGCAAGTGAATTGGAAGGCAAAAAGTGAAGTCCCACAGGACAGTCTTGCAGTTGTTGAAGCAGTCAGTTTTAGAAATCGAGGCTTTTTTGTGATGGGATAGAATCTTCGTTTAAATGTGGATATTGCCATAACATTGCAATTGCTTTTTCCAGATCCCTGGATTCTGTGAAGGGGGGTTTAAAATCAAGGTGGCTGATATAAAGGCAGATCAAGATTGCGACGTGCTGGTTGGTTATAAAGCTGTATATCGGATCAACTTTGCCTTGGCCATCTTTTTCTTTGTCTTCTCTCTGCTCATGTTAAAAGTAAAAACAAGTAAAGATCCCAGAGCAGCAGTACACAATGGGTATGTACAATTTATTTTATTATTTACTTGCTATATTATGGCGTGGATCCTCCTGTTGAGCAGTTAATGTTGCTATTCGGATGGAAGCAGTAGAGTGTATGAATCGGTGGTCCACATATATTTTTGATCTGTTTCTGACCTATTGTACATGTGAGGTTGTTTCAGTGTTATTTCCAGTTGGAGCTCTGTAGCACAGAGAGGGTAGAGGGGATGAGAAAAATCTTGTCCTTTCTTTTAATACCTTTGTTTCAGGTTCCTAGATTTTTATCAAACACCCGTGAAAACAGTTCACGCACTGTGCTAGGCACTGCACACACACAGACACATACACTTTTTATTGTTAAAAGAGAAAAATGTACCTGATATATTAAACAGTATACAGAAAAATAAACTGGATCACTGATTTACACATCTGTTGTTTTCCATTCCTGACTGCCCCCAGTTCCTCTTAGTTTCAAGTAATTCTTTTTTTTTTTTTAATTTACTCATTTTGAGAGAGAGCAAGAGTGCACAAGTGGGGGAGGAGCAGAGAGAGAGAGAGAAACAGAGAAAATCCCAAGCAGGCCCCACACTTGTCAGCACAGAGCCCAAAGTGGGACTCGAACCCTGGACTGCAAGATCATGACCTGAGCCGAAATCAAGATTCGGATGCTTAAACCAACTGAGCCACCCAGCCGCCCCGGTTTCAAATAATTCTTATTTGAAGACTGAAAGTTCTGTAAACTTTATATGTATCATAATCCCCTTTTTATAGATGCAGTAACTGAACTTCAGAGAGATTGGAGTGTCTGAGATTTCTGAGCCAGTGAGAGTTAGAGGTAGGATTGAAACTCAGTTCTGTCCAGCTCCAAAGCCTGATTCTTTTCACTCTGCCATACAAGGCAGTCTTTAAAGATCATGAACTGAAAGCCAGCTTTGGTCCTGGCTTTGCCAGTGATGAACTGTGTGATTGTGGGCACAAGGCACTTAGGTCCTGTATTGTGAAAGAAGGATTAGACGATAACTTTTTCCTAGATCCAATAATTAGTTGCTTCATATTTAGCTAACATTGTTAGTTTAGAATGCCCCAGAATTCTAGAAAAATTCCTATCTTTAATTGCTAAATGTAGGGAAATTCTTAAGTTATGTGTTTTTCTCTTACATCTATGAGTGATTTGTTCTCTGGGCTAATGTTTGTCTTTAAATTGTATGAAAGATTGAGTGAAACAGCTTCATATCAAATGAAGGGATAAGCCCAGACAATCATGTTGGAAATGCTGAGTCTTTATTTTTGCATTTCAGAAATTCACTTTTCTCAGCATAAGAGCAAAAATTAACATTTCATAAATGTACTTTTTTATATTTTAATAGGTTTTGGTTCTTCAAAATTGCTGCCATCGTTGGTATCATGGTTGGCTCTTTCTACATCCCTGGGGGCCATTTTGCCACAGGTATGCTACTAAGGGGGTTAATTATAATATACACAGACTCTACAAATGATGGAGTTTATGCTACATTTTCATTACTGGTTTTGCAGACCTGGCAATTGAATGAAGTGGTATTCAACTATATGACTCAGTACTAATATTAAGATAGTAATTAATTGTATAAACCCAGGAGGCATTCAGCCCACTTCTCAGCTGGAACCATATTTTGCCAGTATCTTAATATACCTTCTCACTTGGCAGTACTAAGTTAATCAGAGAGCTTGTCAACATAGGGACCTGTAGGAACTCATATGTGCTCATATCCCTGTCTTAATCTGCTTTCTTACCATAACATCAAGTGACTTCTGTGGATTTCCACTGTGATTTTTTTTTTCCCTTGTAAAATAAAGGAAAATGCTTACTGTACCATTTGGAATGTCAGATCCCAGGCTCCCCTTGGCACAAGCTAGAACAAGTTTTAAAAGGTCTGAAACCCAACAAAACACTTCTCAGAGAATGCCTTTGAGTTTGGATTTGGAATAATTTTGCTGTGCTGCTGGAGACAGAATATTCTTTACCACCTCTTACTTGAATTGAAATTGTTTTAAAATGTTGGACAGTGATATTCTGAAATGTTACTCCTGTGGTTAAGAATACCTTTGTTCTTTTGCTTTGTAGCCTGGTTTGTTGTTGGCATGGTAGGGGCCTTTTTGTTCATCCTCATCCAGCTAGTGCTGTTGGTAGACTTTGCTCACTCTGTGAATGAATCATGGGTAAATCGAATGGAAGAAGGAAATCCAAGGTGTTGGTACGCTGGTAAGTATCTGAACTCACCTATAAGAGCCATACTGCATTATGCTACATTAAACACAATGTACGTTAGACACTATTAACTATAGAGAACCAACTGAGGGTTGCTGGAGGGGAGGTAGGTGGGGGAATGTGCTAAATGGAGGCGGGCATTAAGGAGAGCACTTGTGTTGAGCACTGGGTATTGTATGTAAATGATGAATCACTAAATTCTACTAGAATTACCATATATGTTGTTATCATATATTGTCATATATGTTAATAACTAGAATTTAAATAAAAACTTGAAACAAAAAAATAAATAGGATGTGCAGTAAAAATCTTCATTGATTTAAATGTATAAACTTCCAAATGAGAGCTGACTTTTTAAAAACTACAGTTTTCCAGTTGAGTCAGTTCTTTTTTTTTTTTTTTTTTAATTTTTTAACATTTATTTATTTTTGAGAGACAGAGAGAGGCAGAGCATGAGCAGGGGAGGGAGAGAGAGAGAGAGAGATACAGAATCTGAAGCAGGCTCCAGGCTCCGAGCTGTTTGTTAGCACAGAGCCCGACGCAGGGCTCGAACTCAAGAACTGTGAGACTATGACCCGAGCTGAAGTCGGAGGCTTAACCGACTGAGCCACCCAGGCGCCCCAAATCAGTTCTGAATTGTATACATTACTGGAAGGAGGAAGCACAGATAACATAAAACATTGGCTTCTCTCAATTCATTTATTTTGAGATTTATAATGTAACTAGATGTGTTTAGATAAAGAAAAACAGTTGTATAGAGTGATGTAGTTTTGGTTTTGATTTCCTTGTTGCCATAGACAGGGGATTCAGGTGGGTTATACATACGGGTCATCTGCCCACATCCCTCAGGCAGATAGAAGTGAACAGTCCTTACTGCTTTATTCAGAATATGACTCACACCCCTTGTAAAAGCTTTCTGGTAGAAAAAGGGCACTTAAAATTTCTAGGGTGGAAATAGGATATACAGCTTGTAACAATGGGGTGGGAGTTGAGTTCTCTCCTTACTAGGGGCAATGACCCAGCATACCTCATTTAAAAAAAATAAATGGACCAGGACCCAGCTCCTGCCCCTCCACCCATTATAAAAGTAATAGTGAGGCGCCTGGGTGGCTCAGCCGGTTAAGCGTCTGACTTGGGCTCAGGTCATGATCTCACAGTTCGCAGGTTTGAGCCCCACGTCAGGCTCTGTGCTGACAGCACAGATTCTGTGTCTCCCTCTCTCTCTGCCCCTCCCCCAGTCACACTCTGTCTCTCTCTCAAAAATAAAATAAACACTAAAAAAATAAAAAGTAATAGCTGCTCTGTGTCAAGAACTCGGAAAACCAAAAATCACAAAAGAAAACATTCCCCCACAATCCAACTCTTCAGTAATTAATACTCACTGTTAACATATTAGTCTATGTCTTTCCAGACTTTTTTTTTTTTTTAAGTTTATTTATTTATTTTGAGAGAGAGGGAGAGAGAGAATCCCAAGTGGGCTCCATGCTGTCAGTGCAGAGGCCAGCACGGGCCTCAATCTCATGAACCAGTCTCACGAATCATGAGATCATGACCTGAGTCGAGATCAAGAGTCAGACACTTAACCAACTGAACCCCCCAGGTGCCCCTCTATTTATTTCCATTTTTTATAATTCATTTGGACTCACTCAACTTTAGAAGAATTTGATACAATGAGCTGAGCATTTGCCATACTTTGGAGTAACTAAAAAGTAGAGAAATCTTGCATGTTCTTATGGAAAAACATTAGGAACTATGCTAATAATTTAATATACATTATCATTTGATAGTAATATATACATCATTTAATTTTAAACATGCAAAATCCATGGAGATTATGATAAATGGAAACTAGTTTTCTCAAATAAGTCTGCTGTGAATTAAGTATAAGTTAATTGAGCTCAATGTTGCTATAGTTGGTCTGAGCATACTGTTACTCTGTCATGTTTTCTAATTTTCAGAGTTACACAGCTAATTGTTGATTGTCCATGTGAACAGAAAGGAATATTATTTTAGGTACTTAAAAAGAGCAAATATACCACTTTCCCACAATGATGTGGTCTCACAGTGACAGGAAACAGGTTTATGTGGCAGTAGCTGCAGAGGACAAACATCATAAAAGATGCCTGTCCATTGTTTTCTGCTAACACCATCCCTGTCATCTAGCTTACTGGACCTCAACCAGTTTGACGGCCCAGAAGTTTTGTAGGTTCCTAAGAAAGGCTTGTAATGAACATTACTTTGCATACAGTTGGAGTTTACTCTAGCTGGAATGATCACATGTCTGGTTTTTCAACCCATGGAATCAAGTAAGGTAGTCTAGGAAGTGAATTCAGTTGCTTGGTGGATTTTTGAATTTAACATTGAGCTGCCTCTAATGCTGTCTGAAACATCAGCCTTGGGTCTCCTGTAATTTTCCTGTAAGATGTTGACCACTCTAACAATAAAATAATGTGTCTTTATTTTTATATGGAGTAGAAGACAATTGGTCTTCATTAGAAAAGTTTGTTACAATCACGAGCATTCATGTTGGCTTCCCTTTTTCTAGCTTTACTCTCCGTCACAAGCATCTGTTACATCCTGTCAGTCGTGTTTGTCGGGTTATTCTATGCATACTACACCAAACCGGATGGCTGCACGGAGAACAAGTTCTTCATTAGTATTAATTTGGTCCTTTGCGTTGTGGTTTCTGTTATATCCATCCACCCAAAAATTCAGGTATGGTCTTCTGCTTCGTCCTCCTGTGACAGATTTTTAATTGATGCTAAACTTTAACTGACATAATCTTTTATGTGAGTTTATGTTTAAGATTATGTACTTAAATATTTTCCCATATTATGATAAAGTCTTTATAATTATAACTTAGTAACTGTAAAGTGTGCCATTGAGTGAATAATTTCCCTGTCATTTAAAAAAAAAAAAAAA